TATCATATTCTTTATGTAACCGGCGGAATTTATCCCGTGTACAAGCTGAGAGAAGTTTCTCTGGATCCATAGTAGCAGAATCAGAGTAGGTTGCGTTTCTTGACAAGTCCGAGTTACCATTGGTAGTGTTTGGCTGGTACGATGAAGTCTTATCCGATTCATTTTGAACGGTCACGTTAAGCACCTGGCAAAAATGCTCAATGCGTTTTAGACGTTTTGGGCTATTAGTCATATTAGGAATTCTTATCCTACCAGAAACAGTTAAAGTACAGTATAAAGTACGGCTTGGCCCAAAGATCAGTATGTTTATGAGCAATGGAAGTTGAAGTACGGGGTTCCATGGCTACAACTGAAGCAGAACTTAAATCAGAGGGCACGGTCAATTCAATATACTCCCCGGGCCAAGTTGTAGCTTGGTCTGGTGCATGTACCACGCAGGCGCGTCTAATCTGATAAAGCCTTATCAGATGAACCATCATTATAAATTATATCATCACCAATCAAAACCTGGTGTTTTGCAGACGAACACTTACATCACTGGCTTCCATAAACGGGGTTTCTGCAAGTATCGCGACATCCAGATACTCAATCACCATCCTTCAAATACAAAAGCATGTTACCCTCACCTCGCCAACAACGTTCGTAGGTGAGGTGCCATCCTCCTGGTGAGCAGACTGGGCTGGTTAGATTGGAATGTCAGATCGTCTAACTGTAGATAACTTCATCATGTTACCAATCTGATTAAAGCACAGATCCTACTTCGTTTCGTTTTTATAGTTCAAAATTTCGTTTTACTTGTCTTTACTACGCTAGGATCTGGAAGAGTTGTTATCATTGACGTTGACCTCTAACGCGACCTATCGCTACAACCGGTCAGATCTTCATGTAGTGTAGGCCATCGAAAGTATAAAAAAACGAAACGAAATATAGATCTGTATTTTAATCAGACTGTCACGTTACCAGTGACGCTGCAGTCTATGGTGATGTGGGCGACATGGCGATCATAGAAGGCGTTTAAATACGGTGACTGGCGAACTTGAATGCGTAATGTGGCTGCTTCTAGCGGTAGAGGTGGTGTAAGTTATTGATCTTCATCCCCAAGGTAGACGTCATCATCGAAAATATTGGAAATTTTTCTACCTCTTGCCAAATATTTACGATCTTGAGTGGGTGAAAACTTGCATTCACTACAGTAGTGTCTAAAGTCTGGTCGATTCGACTGGTGACAAATGGGAAATAATTTGCTTGGACGACTTGACATCGATCTAAGTCCAGTAGTACTCACATTACTACTAGAATCTACTACTAGAAGACAGCCATGTTAACACAACAAAATTTTCCAGGCATGGGGAAATCTCTTCGCCTTCGTCCACTACAGCACCGCACCGTTCTGGGTAATGCTGCCACCAAAGATTGTCCTCCACAAATGCAATGAGACGTTGATAAATGTCTTCCGCCTTTTTATCTGCTTCTAAGTGGATGTCAATGAAGTCAGTAAAATGAGCACCTGATGACTGGAACCCATAATGAAGCCGAATGAGTGGCCAGATGCTATCTATAGAAGTTGAATTCTTCACAATTAAACTGCGAGCGACGCCCGACAGTAATTCGCTATTTGACCAAGTAAAAAGTTCTAAAATGGTTACTTTGTGTTCCGCTGTACGTCTCTGTCCTTCAGGAATACGTTCACCGTCATTAGTGAAACCTCGTAGTGGCGAATTTCTTGACCTATTTCCCTATTTCCTTCCAGCAACTAAAAACTGGGCGAAATTTGCATCTAGTGACAGCGAATATAGTAAATTCTGCCTCCAGTTTTGAATGAATTCACAGTTTCATTCTTTGACAAACACCACTGATTTGGGGCTGGGTGTGAGGTGGCCATACTGGTATGCCGTATTAAAATAAAGCTGCGTGTTTGTTCAAACCAGGAGTCGAAAGTCTCTCTTGACCGTCGTTGTGTAGCACGTGTTATTGGCCAAAGATCCCTTGTTTACTTCGTTTATTGAGTAGGCATTTACCGGCGATTCTTCAGAATTGTAAGGTTGAAAACTCTGCCACCGCGCCTGTAATAAGATAAGGAACCGTCCAACAATAATACAAAAACAACTCCAGGTTAGGCAAACTTTATATAACACAGGATACAAGGTGGCAATGGAATGGCGGTGCACGGGATGAGGGCGGAAACGGAAGTGCCGGTCGTACTTAATAGCCTACTTTAAATGGTCAACTTGATTCCATTCAAGTACCACACTGATCCGCAGTAAATATTCGCTAGGCCGCGACAATCACTGTTAAGGGTGACATCGATGCGACTTAATGAGCCACAAATATTAACTTTTTCCCTCCGACAAATTAAATTCTAAAACATTTTTTTTTTATGTATTAGAAAAATAAATAAAGACGTTTGAAGTATTTGTAGGTAAAAATTACTTCCTATTTTAGTGTAAATGGGTATTAAAATGAGTAAAGGGCGCCATTCTGCTCGAATCACTAACATCTTATGTAAACAATGTACGCGCCATTGAGCACATGATTGATGCCGCGTGATATGACGTCATTTGTTGAAGGCGGTCATCTTTTACAGAGATAGTAGAAGATTTTCGTAACACTTTGTGAAACAGATTGTACAAGTACATGTATGACGGTGTGTTTATAGCCCAAAGAGCTTGGTTTCTTTCGATATTCGCGCATATCGGACCGTAACTTCCTGGCTTATGGCGCCAAAATTGTCGTAAAATAGTCGATCTTAGTCGTTTAGCCGATTTTACTGTCGCCAAGAAATCCTTCTCGACTTGTTTCACATCTTGGGCCACCTGTGACGATCGCCCCCACTTCCATCTCAAGTGCTTCTCGTTTTCGTCTAACGAAGTAAACTCTTGATTGACGAGATGACCGTTGGTTGACACAATACGTTTGTCCGAATGAGTTCAGAACTTGGTTGTCTAGTTTCGCGAACCTAGATTCACATGCCAGATTGCAGAGTAGTGGAGCAAGTTGTAGTTTTTCTAGATCAAATATGCCACTCTCTTTCGGCTTGGTATGGAAAAAGTCTCATTTCTGAGAGCTGGCGCTATGGGTGAGTCAATGACTTCCGCCAATATCTCTCCTATCAGTCGTTCTTTACCATGTTACAATCCGTGAGAATTGATCCTGCATTTTTTGAAGCTCTGGTATTTTCCGACCAAAGAATATTATGACGTCTGCTCAACTCTGTTTGCCACGACTCCGACCGTCTATTCCTAGCAAATCCACCAGAGTATTATCAGAATGCCTCCTAAAGGCTTAACGGGAGTACATTTCACTGCAACACAAGAACCATGGGTTCAAAATGAAGGTATGGACTTTTTCGGCATGTTGAGGCCATCGACAAAATCATGTTGGGAAATTCTAATTGTCCAGACGCCTATAACTGCCCCCACCCCCAAATGCTTAGCTAGATCACATAACTTAAATCTCCTTAAAATCGTCTTGAACTAAAATTCCATCCTAACATAAGATAGATGCGTTTCACAAAACGATTTTAAGCATATTAGGTAAAATCCATTAAAATAATAACATTGACGTTGTGATCTTACCAGGAAAAGGTAGGCTTCTGACATCCACATTAAGACAAAATAAACATTTTACCATTGGTGCACGAATCGTGTACCATAGTGCGTTTCAGCGTAATTTGCAACAAGTGACCAGAAAGAACGAGGCTAGACATATTCCACAACTCCTGTCAAACGGTGACGCCATATCTTATCTGGAGAGCATGCGCAATAGACTGGAATAACCAGACGCTAGAAATTGCTATTCGGTTGAGACTCATGCCTATTTCGCTGGACATAACTGATTTGAAATTAAGAGTCCGAACGGAAACGATTGAATGTAAATTAGTTTATATACAATCAGATTACATTATTATATGCGTTGCGACCCATTTGAGTCAATTTCTAGGTCCCAAATATTAGCGACTTAGTTCCTTTAAGTAGAAAAATTAAGTATTTTCACTTAGCATTAAGAAATCCTTTGAATACTGACCCTGGTTATACTTTGTGTTATTGTTCTAAGGTGTAATATAGGTACCATATGATGTTATCACATTTATCTTGGAATTGTGAGGTCATATTATTAACAGAACCACCATGCCTAGTTTTGCGTGATGTACACAATTCATTGGCAGACCCTTTCCTTGAAGAGTGTCGCCCCAAGAGAAAAATGCTTACCAAGTGTATACAACCATTAACTGGTTTAAAATAATCATCAGGCCTGAAAATAACGGTTTTAGATCTACCTGACAAAATGTCAGGCACTAATGAAATAGTACCTGACATTTTCAACTTAGTGCCGGACATGTATTAATAATATTAATAAAAAAGACAAATCAGTGCCAGACAAAATGACAGGCACCAGCGGTTTAGTCCCTGACAAAGCCTGAATCTGTGCCTGACATTGTCTGTGACAGGTGCCTTATTTCCAGGCTTGATAATCATACACTAAGAATAAACAGGAGCATTTTTTTAATTTGCTTTTTCCTGTTCCAGCTTTTGATATTTTATTTTAATTTCTGTAGGATAACCATGTACATCATTAGATCAAATTGATTCTGGGATTAAACATATGCCCATCAATATTTTACAATATTCAGTGTAGTTTGGTAAAGTCTGTAAATTTTTGTTAGCAATGCCCATAGAATTTTTGCAAAGAAATTGTTACAGTTCAAAAAGCTGTGATGTTGGTATCTTTCATGTGATTTTTCATAGTTACAGATACAGGCATTTTGCATTATAAAACTTCTGTTCAATAATACTGCCCCAATGAATAAGCAGACCAATTGCACAAATAGTAGACTGACATACAGAACTGAGCGACAAGATTTCTAGGGCAAATAACAATATCTTACTTATAAAGTAATTTAAAAGGATTTTTGCCTGCAGAGAGAGATGACATGACAACAATATAATCCCCTGTGAGTATATTTATATCATTTAAGTCTAGGAAATAAGTAGACATTGGTGTTACTGTTAATGGAAGCTTTTTATTGATCTCAAAAATTTATTTTAAAATATTCAACATACAATGTTGTCCTTATTTGGAAAGCACATTAACTGTCACAAAGAACAGAAACATGTACATTTATCTGTTACTGGGAAATACATAACTTTCAGTTCTTATCTACCTCACAGTTATAATGCAACATATTTATTATTAATCTTGCACAGCAATTAATCACTTTATTATCTCTTACAGTGTTTTGATTTATACCAATAGTCTAGATAACGATGTTTACATAAGTACATTATTATGTTATTCTAACTATCAGTAAATTTAGCTGGTCGTTTTTCAACAAATGCTGACATTCCTTCTTTTCTATCATCCTGTAAAGTAAACAATTATCAATTTGAAAACAGCTTTGTTAGGAACTTGAAATTGCATTGAAATAGAGAATGTGTCTCTTCACTCTTGTTGCAGTATATATAGCCAGGTTCTCCATAAGGGGGGAGAAAACATGAAAAAAAAAAGAGCTGCACTGCAAATCAAATTGGAAATTATAAATTATATTAACATTTTATTTAACCAGCAGCTGCCAGGCATATACGCCCACATTTTGCAAGAGATAGATAGAGAACAAGCTAAACAAGAAGAGCCATAATTCAGGAAGTTACGATCCAATAGGATCCAATAGGCGTGGATATCAACAGGAACTAAGATCTTTGGGTTATAAAGATATATTTCAAGTTTCATCAAAATCGGATCAAAATTGTGACTTCTAGAGCGTCCACAACCTTGATGATATACCATATTTTTTACACTATTTGCATACGAGGGGCGGCCATTGTGTCTGTCAGTTTTTTTCCGTTTTTTACGAAATTCAAACTCAACCATCATGACAGTGTAACGGTGATATAATCAAATGGTTTTGTAAATCAGATAATAATTGTGACCTCTAGAGGGACCACAAGCTAAAATGTGATTTTTCGTACAATCAAGGGCCATAATTCAGGAAGTTACAATCCGATATGCGCAAATATCGAAAAGAACCAAGATCTTTTGGTTATAAACATGCATATAATGTTTCATCAAAATCAGATGAAAATTGTGACCTGTAGACTGTCCAAAAGCTAAAAACGTGATTTTCGTACTATCTGGGGCCATAATCCATGAGGTTATGATCTGATTTATGCCAATATGGAAAGGATCTGAGATTTCTGAGAAATAGACCTATATTTTAAGTTTCGTCAAAATCAAATAACAATTGTGACCTGTAGAATTGTCGACGACAATATACGTTCACGTGAAAATGTGGGCCTATAATAAAACCATTTCTCATGGTTGTGACAACTAAAAGTGCTCAATTAAATTTTAGATTATAAGTATCAGTCGCTTTAATAATTTAATCCGTGGCAAAGTAAGTCTGTGCAGTATCCTATAGATGTAGATTAAGCATGTTTTAATAAAGCACTTTTGGAAGAATTTTGGAATTCATAAAACAAATGCACAAGATTTATTGATATAATTCATCAAATGGCTGTGGTATACGTTGAAACATATTGGGTGACATTTGTACAAAGTAAAGTGGGAAATGGAAATCTAAAAAAGTATATTCTTGAGGCACTTTAATATTGTTGGTCCGGAGAAATGTTTTGTTTTTTTTTTAAAACATTCCTTAATGTGAAAAATAAAGGTGCTACAAAACTAGGCATGGCCAGAATATTGCCATTATCTGAAAGTCAATTGAATATTTGATCTAATACCAAAAGTTTTGGCACTTGCTAAGATTTCAAGACATTGTGAACCTTTCAAATATATTATCATTTATTTTTTAACATTACTTATAATAATTTAATTCAGAGAATATGAAATGTTATGATATCCCCAGTTACTAAAGAATGATTATTTTTCAATGTTGAAGTGAAAATATTTACTTACTGTAGCAAATGTTGCATGGAACACTCTTTTCTCAAAATGGAGGCCTTCTCTTAAAGACATTTCATTTGCTAAAAGTGAAAATATAATGAAACTATAATGAACAAAACCCATTGAATAATAAATATATATAAATTAATTTTTTTGAAAAACAAATCAATTTTCCTCCTCCACAAAACTCCTATCCCAAAACTACCAGCTCTTTATGATATAAACACAGACTTGTCACTAATATCAGTATCAGTATATTATATTGGGTTCACATACATGGAATCCATGTATATGTAGTGCAGAGCATAGGTGTTGCATTAGCAACACTAACCAAATTTGTTTGTGTTCATCATAAGTTAAGACAATTTTCAAGAAACAAGCATATTGCTAAGGTGATATATAAATTTTACAATGCATGCAACTATAAGAGACTGATACCACATACATACAGATGGAATACATTCTATAAAACTAAATTGTTTTATAACAGTATACATTTAACCCAAAACAATTCCAGAAATTTAATATTTATTGATTTCAAGTCAATAAAGAGACAGAATATAGTAAAAAAAAAAATTAAAGGAATACCACAAAACTGTGGACGACAGATGGACGATCAATTTGGACATATAAATATCACTTAAAACACATCTCTTAATCGGCAATAGCTGTATGCATATGTTCATTCCACACAAATTCTGTTCTTGACATAGCACACAAATGTTAGGCCTTACCGCTCAAATAAAAGTCTGTACAGTGATTATAACGAATCAGATCTAGTACTAGACGAGCTACAAGATACATCAACGTTTTCTCAACATACCAATTGAAACTTTAGATCATGTACGTCGCAGTACAGAAACATTTTCAAGTAAAACATTTAAACTGACAGGTAAATTAACTATGACCCTTTAAACAAATTGAAAAAATCCATCCACCAATGAAATAACAAAGACAGCCATGCAAAGCGTGGAATACAACTACATAGCAGCAGCTTTGTCTCAACTGCAGGAAAACTTGAATATTGAGCAAATTTGATAAGGATCTAGGAGCCTAGACAAAATCTAAATTCTAGGGTTCATCCTTATGACCCAATTGCTTCAAACCAAATAGGAAAAAAAAAATATGTTAAAAACCTATAGCCTCTATCGTGCTCACACAGTTTTTGACAAATAGGGGATAACTCAGGAATGGAAGGTTGCCGATTATGAATATTGATAGAGATCGATGACCACAATGCTTTAAGCCAAATTTTACAGATATCTGTTAAAAGCTATAGCCTCTATCGTGTTCAAAAGGGGGGATGAGTGATGACTCCAGAATGGAAAGTCGCAGAATGCTTTATATATCGATTGGGTTCATCCTCTCATGACTCCAATGTTTCCCACCAAATTTGAAAGAAATTTGTTAAAAACTATAGCCTCTATCTCGTTCAAAATTTTTTTGTAGAAGGGGGGATAACTCTGTAACGAAAAGTCACACAATAGTGGAAATCAATAGGGTTCATACTCTCACGACTGAATTTGGTGGGCCACGGTGGCTCAGTGAGTAAGAGGTCCCATGTTCGATCCCTGCGTTGACCAAGAAAGTTCATCAGTATTTTCCAGTACAGGACTAAGGGCCTGGCAAAGGACAATGTCTATTACGTTTGGTCCCATGTACACATTGACATGCACATAAAATATCCCTTGACGGTTGGAATTCAATATACATGTAAGAGTAGGCTGTAGGACAATGTATGGCATATGCATTATCCCATTTGGAGCAGAACAGTAGGATGTTAAACTCCATTTCATTTCATTACATTTCAAACCAAATTTGAAAAACATCTGTTAAAAACTACAGCCTCTATCATGTTCTCAAAGTTTTCGGCACACAGGAGGAAACTCCTGAATAGAGAGTCACGGTACAGGGTTTGTCCTCTCAACCACAATGCTTCACACCAAATTTGGAAAAAAATCGGTCGAAACTACAGCCTCTATATTGCGTTCACAAAGAGTTTTGGCAAAGGGGAGATAACTGAGTAATGCTTGAAAAGAATCAGCTGTCTACTGACAGAAAGAGTGAAATGTGGGCGTATAAAAAGGATTTCTGCTGAAGATCCTGATGCCTGGTAATGATGAGTTGGGGGAAAAATCGAGATAAGACATTTTGGAAGTGCAAAAATGACAAATATTACCATAATTATCATTGCTATATCAAATACTATACCTGCATTGACAGCTTCTTTACACATAGCAACTGTTAATTTAGAGAAAGAAGCTATTTTTTCAGCTTGTTTAATTGTTTCTGTTACCAGCTGATCTACAGGAAATACTTTACTTACTAAACCTAATAAATAAAACAATTCATTATATATACATTTCCTCCAGATAGATTGATACGTTGGGATTACATCAGTCGCACATGAAAATATAAACTTTGAGATAACTCAGCGTGGGTGCTGGACAAATTCTGTATTGTTATGTGCCAAGATTTAGATATTTATATTCAAATAAATTTAGCGCACTACACATATACATTAGGACAGTCCAATTAGATCACATATCTTGAATTGAGAGTAGAGAGAAAGAGAGAAATGGGGTTTAACGTCCAGTCAACACAAACTAGGTCATTTTGGGACTAACACATGGTTCAATTTTATTTCAACAATTCGCTTGCACGTAGGGGTCTTTAGCAGTGGGAGGAAACCGGATGATCCGGAGAAAACCCACGAGGTTGGACAGGTGACCCTACTCCTTGCCACATACAACCTGGGAATTGAAACGTCAGTTGACTCAATGACAGACCTGATGATGCAGCGCGCACATGCTAACCATTCGGCTACACATCTTCGAGGATTAAATAAATTGAGAAAGGAGGATCGTAGGTTAATTTTGATAGAAATGGATAGACAACCTGTTTCCAGAGATTTTTTAACTTTGTGTATTAAAGTAAAAAGTGTCTTTCTTCTTTAATTACAGAGAGGGTACACTGGATGCATAGCCTTTGTACCTTTCTTTTTCTATCTTGTGCTGATGGCAGCTTAATCAGATGGATAACTTGGCACTTTGTTAATAACAGAAAAGAGATGGCCTGGTCGGTTAGAGATTAATAGTACTACAAGACAGGATACATTGTAAAGTTACCATAGAATGAAGGACCTTAATGTCAAAACTTGAGAGGAATTCTGGTTTTTTTCATTTCCATGCAAAATATTCAATATTATTCAAAGGAGAATTAAACTTGTAATGTAAGCAAAGACTAGAAGATCATTCTCAAGACACAAGATGTAAAAAATTGTATTCACTTTTTTTGCACATCACAATGATGTGTTACTTTTGATTGTGATGCCATACTTATGTTGGTGCCAATTCCTAAATTTAGTTAACAAATTACATGATATAAAATACTTGCCCAAAGCATTGACCAATGAAATTGCTTAGCTCTGCTTACTTTTAGCAAAAAACGTTAATCATTGAAATTAGTCAAGACATTCACCTAATTCCTAATGAACATCTACACCAAGTTTAACTATTCTACCTCAATCAAAAGCAGAGTTGTTATGTTCTAAAGTCTTGGACAATCAAATTGCTTATTATTACTTAGGCAGAATCTATACTCTGAGTTTCATCACTCTCACCCAATTAGAACCAAAGTTATGTTCCAAAGTCTCAACCAATCAATTGCTTATCTCTACTTAGCCTTAGTGGAAAATGCGCATGATCGAGCTCTGTCAAGGCATTCACTTAATAGACACATACACCATGTTTGAATATTCTACTTCAATTAGAAGGAGAGTGTGTGTGTTCCAAAGTCTTAACCAATCAAATTGCTTACCATGAAGAGAAAATGCTCATTATCGAACTTATTCAAGGTATTGATGTAATGAAACTATACACCAAGTTTCATCACACTCACTTAATTAGAACCAAAGTTATCATGTCCCAAAGTATCTCGGCTTAGCCTAAGCAGAAAATGTTCATCTTTGCAAATAAAAACAATATTACTGGTACCTGAACTTTGTGCATCTTGTGCATTTATTCTATCTGCAGTTAAAATAAGTTCCATGGCTTTAGATTTACCTACAGCTCGTATCAATCTCTGTGTTCCACCAGCACCTGTAAATATTCTGTATATTTAAATAATGATAGGTTTTCAGGCAATGAAAGATGTGCCTACAGCAGCCAATTTAAATCATCCCTTTAGTTCATATATGCTGTTGCATTGTGATTCTGTTATAGGTAAACAAGGGGCATAACTGAGTAGGTAATCATCAATCATATGGATCCAGATCACCCAAAAGATTTCCATAATCAACCTCATACATGCTTTTAAGCAAGACCTTGCCACATGTTGCACATTCTGTAGTTGGAAGCCTTCAACGAAAATTTTGAACTATAGTTAGATCCGGACAAAGAGACAACAATCAATATTAAAGTCAATAGGAAAATGTATGATGATCTCTGACAGGTTTGACAGGTTTCTGAGTACATGTAAATTTCAAGCCAATCAGATGGTAACAGTGATCAAAGGCAATAACTTAATAGAGTTCATGACTATGAGTAGCTGAATTAGGTATGGTTTATCAGCGTCAGGAAAAAGTTTCCATTCCCTTTAATAGACTTCAACTACAAATATATTTTATGTTATGTAGCATGATGTTCTGAATACAAAAAAATATTATAAATAAAGATAAATCTTGCTCGCTATTTTTCATATTTAATTCCTGAACAGTATTCAAATTTGTGTCAGTAATATTAATAAAAAATTGCATGGAAACCGTACCGTACTTGCTTCAAATTCACGTCAGTAATATTCTTCCCAAATATGTGTCCAGAATGTCCGTAATAAAAATAGTTCTTGATGTCGAAACATCGTTTGTCTTCATTTTAAAATGGCATTAAAATTGTTATGACAGATGGAAACAATATACACTTAACAGTTAACACACTGCACGAAAACTCTTTCAAAAACACCTGATACCACTTCTTGTTTTGTGAGAGTTCACAAAAGTGATTGTCTGTTCTTGTCATAAGTGTTTACTGGTATGTTTTAGCATTATCCACAAACAATCCCCCCCCCCCCCCCGCCACACACACACACACACACTTTAATTTTTGTATATGAATATCAAATTAACTGAAGCAGTGATACAGTAGTGACCACTGCCTTGGAAGTTAAGTTCAGTTTTTGAAATCCAAATCCAACATATTGCTCCAATTGGTTATAAGTATCGACAGGTGTTGTGTAAGAGGCATGATGCTTATTTCTTGTGAATGTTTAATCTATATATATACTTACCAGGTATTGTACCCAATGAGATTTCTGGTTGACCAAACTGAGCCTTTTCTCCTGCATAAATAATATCACACATCATAGCTAATTCACAGCCACCACCAAGCTATAATTTAGTCAAATATAAACAAATAAAATAATCATTCAAATCATTCTAGATTTTTAAAATAGACAAAAGATAACTATGCTTGGCCATACATAATAAAACAAGTAATAAATTTATTAATATTGTCCTCAAATAAATATTGAATCATGGCCTACTCTTATATTGAATTCCAACTGCCAAGGGATCTTTTAAGTGCACGTCAATGTATACATGGGTCCTCGGTTTTTCATTCCATCCAAACGACTAGACAGGTGTTCTTGTCAGGCTCCACGTTCTGCACCACTGACAAGGGGAAAACACACCGGAAAATCCCGATGAACTGATGATAAATGAAACGATCCTACAAAGTGATAAATAGTAATAATCCATGCATTGACTTGTAATCTGTTCTATGTTGGTGTAAATTTGCTCTCTCTTACTCTTCACATGACAGTCAGTTTAGGTGAGGGCAACTTGCCGAGGTGTAAAAACCAGCTAGCCCAAAAGCCAACACACTGCACTGTCATATATTGCATTATGTTTACAGAAGGATTTTATTCCAATGATTTTAGCATTTATGAGATAAATGGGAATGAAATGTTAATTGCAAAAACTTCATTTCCAGATGACATCATTACTTTTTCTTTGACATTTTCTACACTGACTTGTTTCGATCAATCTCAGTCTTAATTAACATATTTCTTTTCGGCTTGTAATCTAAGTACCCCACTGTTTGATTACCTAGGCTAAACAAATTATTCTCAGGTTTATAGTAGAACAGACATAGTACATTTTGACAATATATCTGAATTAGAATTGAACCTACTGCATGTCCATTAACGGCAGCTATAATAGGTTTTCTACATTCTATTATTCTGTCCAAAACACAAGGAAAATTGGAGGTAAAAACATCCATAAAGCTTTTTTGCTTCATTTCTGCTATATCTGCACCCACTGTAATTAAATGATGTATATAAGTACATACAAATACATACAGCAAAACCATTTACAGCTGCTATTACTGGTTTCTTACATTCAGCTACACGATTCCAATGATTTAAAAAATTCCCACCATATACTTTTGAAAATGTCTGATTCTGCATTTCTTTGATGTCTGCCCCAGCTGAAAGGCAGTTAAATAACAATCTCAGTTAGTATAAGGAGAGGGAATTGAAACCAGCAGATACCAGGCAAGATATGCTTATATTTTAAATTGTTACCTGTAGAGTGTCCACAAACAAATTGTGGACGGACGGATGGACAGGGGCGACGATAATATACGTTCACATGAAAATGTGGGCGTATGAAAATTGAGTGTTAATTTTGACATAATATGTTAACTGTGCAAACAATTAATGAAACTTGTTCTTATTTTGACCCATTCAAAATGCTATGGATATAAAGTCATATAATATTTCTTTTAAATTGGTTGAAAACTGTACAAATTTTCATAAAGTCAATGGCAAAAATACTGTGAGTAACTGACAAAGTTGGACTTCCCCCACCCACAGGCTCTAATGACTATTATGGTACATGTAGATGAAAAATGTAGACTCCAATATATTCACAAATGTTAGTTTTTTTGCCAAGTCTAGGGCAATAAATTTTGAACAAGAGGCCCAAATCACCAATTTGGTTAAAGAGTACATTGAAGGATTCTTAAACATACATTATGCAAGAGCAAAAATTGCCTGAAATGTTATCTAGATTAATTAGACATTAATTAACTTATCCAGACTATAATCAACTCTCAATGGCATCGCTAGCCTGCAATATTTACTGGATTATGATCCCATTTGCTGCTCGACTTCAATTCATAATTTAATCAAAAGATAAGTTGCCAGGCAACAAAACATACGCCCACAGCAGCTAAATCGTCCAAGCGGTCGTCAAGGGTTGTCGCATATTTATTCCTTTGTAGGTAATTGGGGGCCTTTACAAGACAGTTCCATACAGATCAGATTATAAATTTTGTCGTTTGGGGATTTACAAGGTTCTATAAACTGAAACAAGGGTCTCAACTCTGGAAGTAATCTACAGAAATTGTTGAAATTTGACAGGCTTTTTCGTTTTACTAATTTAAATAATGCATATGAATTTCATACAGATCACATTTGTCATTCAAACGTTCACAATCGCCATAACTCTAGAAATTATTGACGGAAATTGCTGAAATTCAATAGACCTGTTTCACTAATTTAAATGATGCATATAAATTTCATACATATCGGATGATAACTATCATCAATCGAGCATTAACAAATGAAATGAAATGAAATGGGGTTTAACGTCCTACTGTTTTGCTCCGAACTGGGCTAATGAAGACGGGCATACGCCATACAGTGTGCTATGAGGGAAATTTTGCCCGGACAGCGGCACTACGGCCTACTCTTATATCGAATTCCAACTGTCAAGGGATCTTTTACGTGCACGCCAATGAGTACACGGGACCTCGTTTTTCGTCACATCCGAACGACTAGACAGCTGTCCTTGTCAGCCCCTCCGTCCTGCATCACTGACAAGGGAGAACCACGCCGGAAAATCGGGATGAACTTTCTCGGCCAATGCAGGGATCGAACGAGCATTAACAAGGTTTAACAAAGTGAAACAAGAGCAATAACTCTGGAAGTAATTATTGTAAATTGCTGAAATTCAATAGGCTTTTTTGTTTCACTAATTTAAAACATGCATATAAATTTCACAAAGATCGGGTGATAACTTTTTGCGTTAGAGCGTTCACAAGGATCAATAAAGTGAAACAAGGGCCATAACTCTAGACTTAATAAATGAAAATTGCTGAAATTCAATAGGCTTCTCCGTTTCACTAATCTAAATAATGCATATAAATTTCACACAGACCGAATGATAACTTTTGGCGTTGGAGCGTTCACAAGGATCAATAAAGTGAAACAAGGGCCATAACTCTAGATGTAATAAACTGAAATTGCTGAAATTCAATAGGCTTCTTCGTTTCAGTAACCTAAATAATGCATATAAATTTCAGAAAGATCAGATGATAACTTTTGACGTTAGAGCGTTCACAAGGATCAATAAAGTGAAACAAGGGCCATAACTCTAGACGTAATACACAGGAATTGCTGAAATTCAATAGGCTTCTTCGTTTTAGCAATCTAAATAATGCATATAAATTTCAGAAAGATCAGATGATAACTTTTGACATGAGAGCGTTCTCAAGGATCAATAAAGTGAAACAAGGGCCATAACTCTAGACGTAATAAACAGAAATTGCCGAAATTCAATAGGCTTCTTTGTTTCAGCAATCTAAATAATGCATATAAATTTCAGAAAGATCGGAAGATAATTTTTGACGTGAGAGCGTTCACAAGGATCAATAAAGTGAAACAAGGGCCATAACTCTAGACGTAATAAACGGAAATTGCCGAAATTCAATAGGCTTCTTCGTTTCACCAATTTAAATAATGCATATAAATTTCAGAAAGATCGGATGATAACTTGTGACGTTAGAGCATTCACAAGGATCAATAAAGTGAAACAAGGGCCATAACTCTATAGACGTAATAAACGGAAATTGCTCAAATTCAATAGGCTTCTTCTTTCCTTAATTTAAATAATGCATGTAAATTTCAGAAAGATGATAACTTTTGGTGTTAGAGCGTTCACAAGAAATTGTGGACGGGGGTGACGGCAATATGTACGTTCACATTTCAATGTGGGCGTATAAAAATGGATGACCGAGACTATGTCTTTTATAGTACAGACTTTAGTAATGATGATCGAGGCTAGGCTGAAATTTTAATCCCTTAATTCTCGGTTCATAGTGGATCAATTTGACTGAAATTTTCTGCAAATTGCCTTTACATTATCTAGTTTTCAACTATTATAGTGAAAACTGCCAGCTCTTTATCTTATCTCCCATAATGTATCTTTAATTATCACTATATGAGTTAGATTCTCCTTATGTAGGGTACACAGAAAGTTTTCATTAATCAAACTGGTCCTCAAATATCTATGGAAAACATGACAATATATTGAAGCTTCTGTAATTAGCAAAGCGTATGCATATGAATATTCATTGTTGAATCAGTTTTTTCTGCTAGACTGTCTGACTACAATCATAACACTTTCCACCTAACAAATAGCTACACACACGTCATGGCTTGCACCGAGCCAGGTATGAACATGTATATGACACATTTTGCACTAAAAATGCAAATTCTTATTATGTGTGACAAATTCAGAAGTTATATACATGTAACAATGTGGAGGAGTATGCTCATTCAGTGATATCTTTTTTGACATCTGCTTTTTTTTTATAAAATATAAATAATTCAAGGGTTAACGGTAATAAAGTTAGGTACGAGTATTTATTTGGGTACAAAACTGACCATTGATAGAATTTATAGCAGTAATGACAAATTTACTGATGCATCAATCCATCCCAGTAGCAATGTTTATTTTTCAATACATTGATGCTTCAAATTTTATGTGATATCAGCACCAAATTTCCTCATCCTGTATTACTAATTATATATTAGTTACTCGAAAATAACACCTTGAAAAAATACTTTACCTGCAAATGCTCTATCACTACCAGTTAAAACAATACAACCAATTTCTTTATCTTTCTCAAATTCATCAAGAACTTGGCTAACTTCTTTCATTAAGCCATCACAGAGAGCATTTAAAGCCTTGGGTCTATTTAACTGAATGAAACCCACATTATTTTTCTGTCCACGTTTCTCTGCTTTTATATGTTCATGGTCACCTAAAATACCATAAACATGTATGCAATCACTTATATGGACAATATCAAATTTGTTAGCCAAAAAGACATTGAAGAAATGAAATTCCCTTAGTGGACAATGCCAATGGCCATAAGGCTGATTTATAAAACAGAACACAGTGTAGGCATACATGTGATCTGCTATGTAAAAGATAGTTTGCCAGGCAACGAAACATACGCCCACAGCAGCTAAATTGTCCGAGCAGTTGTTGCATATTTATTCTTTTGTAGATGATTGGGGGAATTTATTTACAAGACAATTCCATACACATCAGATTATAATTTTCGTCGTTTGAGGGTTTACATGATTCTACAAACCGAAACAAGGGCCCTTAAATAAAATAGAAAAATAGTTGTATTTCGATATTTTCTATATTTAATTCCTGTCTTGGCTTTAAGTTTATGCCAATAATATTCCTCAATACTGTCTTCGTTTATAAGACAGAAAATGACATACTTTCAGTTCATAATGTCTAAACATTGTTTACATTCTTTACAAAATATTATTTAAAATTCATCGATCGCTAAATAAATCACTCATCAAACTCTAACCCCTACCTATCGACTTCCACTTTTATCGGGTCTTGTTTGTTATTCACGCCAATGTCAAGCCTGAAGTTTTCCTTTGTAGTATGAACTGCTGTATATGGCAGACCCATGGTGGCTTATATGGTAACCAAAGTGTAGTATTTTCATGCTAGACTGCGGGATAATGGCACTTTTGCCAATGGAGTTTGACATCCACTCAACACACGCTAGGTCATTTTGGGACTAACATACTGGTATGGTTCAATTTTATTTCAATAATTCGCTTGTGCGTAGGGGTCTTTAGTAGTGGGTGGAACCGGAGGACCCAAACCCAGGACAGACGACCCTATTCCTTGTCACACCAGTTAAATTGACTCAATAACAAACCTTATGATACAGCATGCACGTGCTAAACATTCAGCCATCCACCACCCACACCCCCACCCCTGGAGTCTTAGCAAAAGTTGTGCATTATAGTTTAGCAGAAAATTAGTTATCTGGTGTTTATTAATAGCTAATAATAGTGAGCACTTTTTGATCAGTATGGTATTATTGTGCAAGGCAGATTTAGTTGTCTAGTGATTGTTTCTTTGGGTTGGAAAATTATTAAAATAAGAGACCATGTACATGACCGATTCTTACGGAGGAAAATGAAGACAGTATTAACAGATCAAAACATTGTATGACATTGGTACGGGGCTAATTATTGGGAAGTAAGAAGTAAATATTAAGTAAACATGAATGAATAACACCTGCCAAGGCCAAGTGATGTACATGTATGTTTGGAAGTTTCTGACAACTTTTGGGAGTAAAATACGCAGTTGGGAAAGCTATTACGGATGATTGAGGAGAGCAATAAAATACGCACCTAGATTGGGATTTAGGTGAACGATGAAGCCCATGATCAACAGTGCACCTCAAACGTGAAGGTGTAATGGTCTGAAAGACACAATCAGCAGATTATCAAACTGGATCATAACTGAAAATCTTCTTAAATTTTTCACAGTGACCTTGTATGAGGTTAAATGGACTTCTACTAAACTATATGCCTCAAAATCATATAAACATAAATATGGTAATTTGACTGTGACATTCATTCACCAAAACCTGGTCAAAATTTTATTCACTGTCTGTTCCAGGTGACACTACGACACGAAAATTGCTTGCCATTTCTTCAATTTTTAATTAAAACGGCTAAAACTTAGTGACATACCTGGAATTCCCATCCCATTACTTTCTTACATGAGGGAACCAACTTCAGATCAAGCTATATAACCTCTCTCTCTCTTGAAAAATCGTGGTCAGCCATGTTTGACCTAGTTATCTGGAATAGTCGATTTGGGCGGGGCCGCTGGTTTGGCTTTGAGTCATTTCGGCCTACTTGGATGTTAATGAAGTAGTTCAGCCGGCCAGTAGAATATAACTTTCATTTTTACTGGATTTAAGACCACAGTTGTTTGTCCAACTGACTTGAATATTTAATTGGCCCAAAGGGCTGTAGCATTTTGATATTGATATAAACTACATACAAATTTTATCCTGAACTGACATGTGATGGAAATTTGAAAGGAGGCTACACAATAATAACTTAGTCCATGATAAATAAAGTGGAAGTAATCGGGGGTTGCATAATTATTCCTTTGCTTAAAACTTTGTCTTGAGAACCCTCAGAAATTTTAAAGTTGAATTTAGGCTGGAGTGATGATCAGACTAATTGTATTCGTAACCTAATTTCTCATGATCTTTATATAATAATTATGTCTAGCGCATTATCACCCAGCCTGGCGTGCCATTAAACATCAATTACATCATTTCATTTCTTCAATCAAGGTTATGCCTTGCAGAACACGGCATATGTGGTTGTGGATGGTCTCACTCATTATATAATTTTGTACTTTTCCGGTTTTGTAGATGGGCCCTACTTTTAAACGGATTTTACGGATGTAATTAATGCGTAGAAGAACTCATTTTTTAAACTTGTATATTGTAAATAATTCTGTTTCTCGAAATAACTGCATAATACTTTGGTACATCCCTTGACCTCTCGCATAATTTTCATCATGAAATAATAAATTGTAGATAACAATAATCAATTATTCATGGGGTTATATTTTCTAAGATTCGCTTTTTTGTCTTTTCTAACTTATTGTATTAATGCAATATTAAGAATATCTATGATCCAGTGAACTGTGAGGAATATTAAAATACTGGCATTTATTTTGCAAAAAAAAAAAAGTTTAGAAAAAGCTCAGAAAATTATATAAAGCTATAACTACTATGCAGTCATGACGGGTTTTCGCTGGTGCCCGTTATCCTTTAATGGAGGTCACTTAACATATTCCCATGAGCATGATACATGTGTAAAAAATATACACGAAATGGCTATTTATGATAGCATGTTGACGTGTGAAACCCTTACAAAGTGACCAATGCTTGATCGTATATCTACACAATATTACTTAAACATGCATTATGCAAGAGCTAAATCTGATTATTGCAAGTCTTAATTTAGGCTTCAGATGTTATAGAAATTATAAATTAGATCTTTATTTAAACAACAAGACAAAAATCAACTCTGTAGACCCACGGATGGCTCGGCTACAGCTCGGATTTAAATAGGATTTCACTAATTGATTAAATCAGATAAGGGGTAACCTGATGAAAATACGTCAGTTAGATCGAGGCTAAATGATAGAGTGTACTTAGCGAGGCCGCTGTAAAGCGTTTCCGTATGCCATTGAAAACTTCACTTGATAATCGAGATATGTAGGTGGAGTTAACGCCTGTCAATCAAACGTTCGGCGAAGGTGAAGACACATTTCGCTACCATTTCTAGGCAAATATTACAACGATGATAACTATGTTCAGAATAAAGTAATTTGACTGAATTTTTCAATATATTCTTCTTTCATCATCTACTTTTGAACTGTTATAGCAAAAATGGCCAACTCTCTATAAATATCTCCCATAATGTATCTTTAAAGAAAATTAGTATACATTATTATTAAAGGGTATAGAATAACACTCTTTAAAAAAAAACATGTTTGCTTTAAAGATACATTCCCGTGTACAAACTGGGTGATTTAATGGTATATATGGACCAAAAACATATTCAAACTAATTAATTTTGCTTCAAATCCTTCTCAAACATTGTAATTGCCAAGGAATGCCCTGCTATAAAAATTTGATCAAACCAGCTCATGTTACGACCACGTGACTTACCTCTCTCGGAAGTCAGAGGAGAATTCATTGCATACATAAGACGATGTTGCCTTTAACCCGTTAAGTGTGTAGTTTTTAAAACGTTAACTACCCCCTATTGTGTAATTAATTTGACGAAAAACGTCATTTTTGGACCTTTTAATTCCTGAATACAAATGATAGTAGTCTGAAACCATATTAAAACTAACAGTAAATAGAGTTGTCTCCCTTCAATTAGATTTCCTTGACCAGGCGTAATATAACATCCTACACATGTTGCGATCGTATGTTCGAAGAATAGGTTGGGGAAAATACCACCTCCAAGGCGTTATATTACGCCCTACACACGGTGAGTGGCAGTTGTCCAGGACGTTATATAATACCCTACGCATTTAACGGGTTAATCGCTTACTGTTTATTACAAATATCGAATCCTAATTAAATTCTCGGATTATCCACTACCCGCGTCTTTTCCGTCATTTTTATCTCAGAAAGTGTTGTATGTGACCTTTGACATCACGCGTGAAGAAATTCCTAATCGTCGGGCTGTCGATTAGGGGAACTCTTACATTTTTGTCCCATAAACGCTCCTTGAGTGTTTTTCGGGGAATCCAGTAATTTTCTGGTAAGATTGGATATCTCTACTTTCCATATATACCAAAATTACTATACTTTTATTGGAAATAACCACCCGATAAATACTTTTCTGGGAACCCATCTTTAAGGGTTAAAAATATAGGTTGTTTTTGTTCAAAATCACTATAGGTGTGTTGGGTAAGTTATAAACTATCTTTTGATATCTATATGTTCGCATCGATTTGTGCTTTTTCGATGAATAGAATTAAAGTTTTAAATTTTAAATATAAAGAAACAGATACATTTGAAAAATAAAACTTTAAAAGTACAAGTTTTGCCAAAATAACGTAATTTCTAATGACAAGAAGGTTACAATAATGAACAGTCGCAGCAGGCATCAAATGGTGCAAATGTCATCAAAACAGAATATTATATTCTTTTGAAAAGTGATTTCCACAAAATTGCCTATTTCTCGCAAATGGCAAAATTCCAGAATGATTCATGGGTTTTCGGTTGATCTTATATATCAACCCTACCTGTATATAAATGTTTAGAAAATACAAATATTATATAATAAAGAAGTTAAATAACATTTGCAGGAAAACGGAATACGAAAATCGATCCCACCTTCCTCTGCTTATTTACGAGGACTGTCCAGATATATATCAGCTAAATGGCGAGGAAATAATACATTGTATCAATAGCTAGTGCCATCCCGTTTACTATGCCGTTGATTCTGTGTCAACTGGATAATTATTATCTAGTTTATACGCTAAAAACTGTATCGTCAAAGGGAGATAATTTAGATAAATATATTTTAAATATTTATTTACAGCTGATCAGAGCCTATGTACTTTGAAAAACTAATAAAGTGTTTATAAAAAAAGTCACATTTCCAGACTTTGCTCCCAAAAACCGAGAAGCTTAAACATACATTATGCAAGAGCTAAATCTGATTATTGCAAGTCTTAATTAGGCTTCAGATGTTATAGAAATTATAAATTAGATCTTTATTTAAACAACAAGCCCAAAATCAACTCTGTAGACCCACGGATGGCTCGCCTACAGCTTGGATTTAAATAGGATTTCACTGATTGATTAAATCAAATATGGCGCCCCATGCGGAGATTATTAACCGTTACGTTGACGTCATCAGTTAGATTGAGGCTAAATGATAGAGTGTACGAAGCGAGGCCGCTGTTGAGAGATGCCGCATGTCAGTCAATTTGATTGAAAGTTCGATATATACGGCCTTGATATTATGTTCAGTTGTGGTTAAAATGAGAGTTTGGATGTTGGTATTATACGCTCTTTTGTCACTTGCGTTTACAGAAATATTTATAAACATCGCAGCTAACATCACCCCAGTTGAATTGCAGCCCCCTTGGATCACTGTAGTGTAGTGTTTCCTATTTATTTGTCTGCTTCGGGAGTCACGTAGTCACCTTACAGTACAAGAGTACACGCAGGCTAACAAGAAGTCAGCTATAATTATGCCTCGTTGATTTGGTCCATTCCTTTCAACTTTCACTTCTCATCTATATAATAAAAGTCTTATTTTTAATTTGTAGTAAAAATAAATGTGATACGAACTGAACTGCAACCCCGTCTCAAGCCATTGAAAACGTTACTTGATAATCGAGATTATGTAGGTGGAGTTAACGCCTGTCAATCAAACAATCGGCCAAGGTGAAGATATATTTGACTACCATTTCTAGTCAAATATTACAACGATGATAACTTTGTTCAGAATAAAGTAATTTGACAAATTTTCAATATATTCTTCTTTCATCGTCTACTTTTGAACTGTTATAGCAAGAATGGCCAACTCTCTATAAAAATCTCCCATAATGTATCTTTAATGAGCAGTTACTGCGAAATAAGCAGGTGGAAACAGAACTATAATATTAATCCGACCAAAAAACATGAGTGTTTAACACAGGATTCACAAAAGAAACGGGCAAATTTACCTTTACTAAATATTTCTAACTGAATGTACCCAATTTGGAGATCTCTGTCTACCCTTTACGCGAAATGCAAGTGTCCCATTATGCAGACGCACTCCGTAATGTTTATGTTTTGAGAAAGAAACAATGTCGAAATATATGTGAAATTTACAAGAGAAGAGTGAATTTTGTCGAACTTCTAGGCGTTTGGGCTCGACGAAGAGAGCAAAGGGATGACAATTTCTGGCATGTCACCAAGTTTTGGCTGTTTAAATTAAAAACTGAAAAAATGGCATGGAATTTATTTATAGTTTGTGTAATTGTACTAGGCCTACTGTACTCTGGAGCCTAGAAATGGTTCCACTACTGATGTCTTCCACCTTACTCTAGCCACAGTAGTCAAATCACTACAAAAAGGTTACTGGCCTATAGCTCCCTTAATTTACACATGAACTGACCCAAAACAGTACTGCACCTAGCTTAACATATAATAAATCAATTCCTATTGAAATAAAGGTGAAGCCTTACCGCATAATTATATGATTTGATGAAACCCAACTGCTACGCAAAATTTAAACTGGCTGGTGTCATGGCGGCTTGCGTAATACGTCATTACAAGAAATATCGCTATGCAAATGTAGAACGCATTTACACAAAGAACCAGCGGCTGCCAGGCAGGGTACGCCCACATTTTCGAGAGATGGATAGAGAACAAGCTAAAAAGAAAGTGATTTTTCGTACAATCAGGGGCCATAATTCAGGAAGTTACCGTCCGTTATGCGCGAATAGCGAAAGGAACCGAGATCTTTGGGTTATAAATTACATTTTAAGTTTCATCAAAATAGGATTAAAAATGTGACCTCTATAGGGTCCACAACCTTGATATACCATATTTTTACGCTATTTGAGAACGAAGGGCAGCCATTTTGTCTGTCAGTTTTGGGCCGATTTTCACGAAATTCGAACTCAGCCGTCCTTAGGGTGTAACGGTGATATAATAATACGTTTTTTTTAAATCGGATAAAAATTATGACCTCTATAGGGTCCACAAGCTAAAAACGCGATTTTTCGTACAATCAGGGGCCATAATTCAGGAAGTTACTGTCCGATATGCGCAAATATCGAAAGGAACCACGAACTTTGGGTTATAAACTTACATTTCAAGTTTCAATAAAATCGGATTAAAATTGTGACCTCTATAGGGTCCACAACCTTGATATACCATAATTTTACGCTATTTGAGAACGAGGGGCGGCCATTTTGCCTGTCAGTTTTAGGCCGATATTCACGAAATTCGAACTCAGCCGTCCTTAGGGGCCATAATTCAGGAAGTTACGTTCCGATATGCGCGAATATCGAAAGGAACCAAGATCTTTGGGTTATAATCATACATTTCAAGTTTAAACTAAATCGGATAAAAATTGTGACCTCTACAGTGTTCACAAGCTAAAAACGTGATTTTTCGTACAATCAGGGGCCATAATCCATGAAGTTACAGTCCGATACATGCCAATATCGAAAGGAACCGAGATCTTAGGGTGATAAGCCTATATTTCAAGTTTCATTGAAATCGGGTAAAAATTGTGACCTGTTGACTGTTCACAAATAATTGTGGACGGACGTCCTGACAGACGTCCAGACGGACGGATAGGGGCGACGACAATATACGTCCACATGAACATGTGGGCGTATATATAAACTGTTCGGTACCGTAGCTATTTTAGTGGTCCAGTCTTCACCATTTGTCATAGAATTACTTATTCCAATACAAACTGTAATGATATGTGTTGACAATTGTGCGTTTGAACCTATTTGAACTTGTGTAAGGAATCTTAGACTGTATCAATTGTAACGTTAAACACACAGTTTAACGTTACAAGTATAGATAGTAACTATCTGGAGCCATGCCATCCATGGACCATGTTTAAAACCCCATTCATCGATTAATAGGAAAACAATATAGCCATAAATGGGCAAACAATACTGAAGAACATGACTTATCAAATTTAGAAATGATAAACGATTGTAAAAAATTTTAAAAATATTTTGTGGTGTAATTCCGTGTGATGATAATTATCTCCCTTATACTACTACTACTAGGTTCATAGAATCATACCAGCGAAGAACGTTTGCGAATCTGACTTTATCGTTTGACTTAATGCAAGTCTAAAGATTCTATGACAAATTATATACCTGCTGAAAATTTTCTGCCAAACACCAATGAACTGACACTTCCTTCTAAGCTGGATTTTACTGTAAGAATTCGAGATGTTCTCAGAAAGGAGTTCATGATCCCAGCCATTTTGAATAGCCTTGATTATCCACAGTTATCGTCCATAGTCTTGGTCGCCAGGGCGACCTCGGATGTAGACTATGGTCGCGACTACTGTCTGAACCAGCACCCAAACGCAAATGGCCCTAGCCATTGACTATTCAATATGGTGGCGACCATGTCAGTTGTTCCGCCTGCTATATTTTCTCCTATTTACACATGTATTTTTAAAAACTGATTAATTTTCCATACCGTGATGTGAAAGCAAGCTTAAAATAGGTTATAAATAGGATTAGTCAATATCAGAATATTTTTCATTGGATTTATGTCACCCAACCAACCAAGATCATTTCACACGTACAGTTTTTTGTCGTGTGTCTGATATATTCGAATAAGAAGATCCTAATCTGTCAAATTCATCAAAAAAAGACGAAAAAAAAATAATCAAATTTAACATCTATACTACAATGTCCATTCACTAACTTTCAGGTGTTAACATGGGCCCTATAATACCGACCAAGGTGTAAATAACGCAACGGCAATCGGCAATTTTATTATATTTTTTAGAAAATCTTCTCAACTGTCAGTTTTGTCAGCCATATTTAAACTATTCCGACCGTGCTTTATCGCATGGTATACGGGTGGTCACGACCACCGGTTGAATTAAATGCCATTCGCATGCAGATGGTTCGACTAAGTACGAAAATCCGTGCAACCGTAGGTCGCCCAGGTGTTTCTTTCCAAAATCTATAGAGATTGCATTCACCTTGCATTGCCAGGGTGCACGCATAGCATCTAGCTTACCAAACTGATCAGCAATATTCGCTTGGCCATCACGTCGTTCCTTTGAGGGAATTCTGTTATTACGCCGAGGGTTATATATATATATATAACAGCTATTTTGTAACAAAAAAATTATACGTGGATTTTATACTCCCCCCCCCCCCCAAAAAAAAATAAAAATAAAAAATTTCACACTCACTGATGAAAAGTTTTCGATGTCGATTCCTGCTTGGAAACAAATTGTGCTCCCCTAGAGGCACCACCTTGGACGACGGAGTAAAGCACATCTTTGCCAGTATGTTTTATGAGCTGTGAGAAAATTTGAGAAATCGTGAGTAATGGGGATCGTTGTAAACTGATCCAGAGCTACTAACAGAAGCATCATTCGGGGTCTAGGGAGAGAATTTTGTGAAATGAAATGAAATGAAGATAATTAATTATTTACGGCAATTAACGCTCTACTGTTTTACACCAACCGGACAAAATGATGACGGGCAAACGTCAAGCATCCTACATAGCGCAAATACAATAGCCTTTCATGCATTTTGGATTTGGGTTACTATATAGTTTTCTGTCGGAATGGTTACTACTCAATCCGGTTAAAACACAGATCCTATTTCGTTTCCTTTTTATAGTTCAAAATTTCGTTTTACATACTTGTCTTTACTACACTTGGATCTGGAAGCGTTGTTATTTAACTCGTGTTCTGCTTGAAATGAGGGGTCAGCCAATCAAATGGTCTGTCGAATCGAGCGTTTGACCTTTTTTGCGCGGAACTGTGGGTAAATCCACTAGTAACATAAATGCTGATTGGTTAATCAAATGTTTGATTTCATAGGGTCATAAGTCGGTATTTTGACCCCTGACGTGACCTATGTAGTGTAGTGTAGGCCATCGAAAGTATAAACGAAACGAAATATAGATCTGTATTTTAATCAGATTGGTTACTACTGAATTCAATCCCATGATGTTCAATATAGATAAGCTTAATTTTTCTCTCTGTAGATTTATTTGAATTCTGTGGTTGGTACCAGTCGGATATCACAAGGGAAATAAATATGGAAAGAATAGCTACTTGAATTTGTGCACATACAATAACAAAATCTCCAAGCGGATCTCTGAACTATGAAATCTGTATTGTATAGAATATTTATCCTGTGACATTCGGTAAGAAACTGTCGTATTTGTAAGAAATATATACACGTATATAGAATTCCCATCTGTTTATGTTTAATCTACATAGAACAAAATAATGTATAGTGTTCTATAGAATATCAGAGAGAGAGGAGAGAGAGGGGGTGGGGGTGGGGGGGGGGGGTGTAACGCCACTCGACACAAACTACTATAGGTCATTTCGGGACTAACTCATGGTTCAGTTTTATTTCAATAATTCGCTTCCGCGTAGGGGTCTTAATTTAGCAGTGAGAGGAAACAGGGGGACCCGGAGAAAATCCACGAGGTTGGACAGGCGACCCTACTCCTTGTCACGTACAACCGGGGAATCGAAACATAGCGATTAGTACGTTTCAAAATCCGAAATACAATTACAATTTTCAAAATATAACTTAAATAAAATAAAAAAAATAATATAGTTCGATATATAGTTTTAAAAAAAAATCTGTATTCTAACTTTCTAGGGGACCCCTAAACCTTTGTGGTCCTGGCGCAGATGCACCATTTGTAATCCACCATTGACAGAAACCTATATTATCTTTTCTATTAATATGACTTTTTCCATAAGGGTTACAGATAACCATAGCAAACATCTATCTTTATTTAAAATTATACTTGGAATCTGACCAACCTATTCGAATATAGCCTATATCAGTGGACAACGAAGTTGTCCTATAAATTATAAATTAATGTCTTTACTCTTTAGCAGTTCGGACCTTTTAAAATAAATGATTGGTCCTAATCATGGGACAAATTTATATGTCGATTCGCCCGCACGTACTATTGACAAAGACTGTCACATGAACACCGTGAAAAGTTGAACTTTGATCAACGCACTTTGACTTTAGTAATACGGAACACGCTCGATTTATGAAATAAATCACAAAAATAGGTTTGTCGAATGGGTTATAGTCGACCTGTATCCGGTTAATTGTCTGATATGAACTACATTAAAGACAACTGGCAACGCGCCAATTTATATATCTTTGACCTTAATTACATAATATTTGTACTGTGAATGGGCTACATGTAAATCTATTTGTTAAGGCCAGCTCAATTTTTGACAAGGTCGTTGAGATGTAAATAATGTTAGGGCATTTGATTGTTGGCGAAATTGAAGGTTAGGGTTAGGGTGAGCATGGGAATAGGTCCAGGGTTAGGTTTAAGAATATGGGGGACAGGTTAAGTCTCCACATAGGATCAGGGGCGGATTGGGGCCGGGAACCGGCCCGGGCTCCCGTGTCGAAGCGGCCCCTTTTACTGACCGCGGAGTCCGGGCGGGAGGTCCGGGAGATCTCCCCCGGGAAAATTTTGAAAAATGAACCCCAAATATGCGATTTGGTGGCATATCTGATTATAATCGCTGTCATATAATATATCTCATAAATCGATTAATTTAGGCCGAAACCCCGACCCGCAAGTAATTTACAACCATCAACCCGTGAAATTATCATATCGTCATATTATTAATTAACGTATTATCATTGTATCGTCAAGAGTCAAGAGAATTTAACTGGTTAAAAAATGGGACCATTTGATTAACCATTTAGGAATATTGAATAAGTAGGAATATTTTCATTGAAAAATGTCCCACTTTTGTTGCCGGGAGCGCTAATTGATTCCTACTGTGATGGAAGGCCACGGGCCACCATACATTGGTACAGAGTGACGAAAGTGAAATTCATGAAGTCTATTATACCAGCCCATTCCAGACTCCAGTGCTGGCGTGGCGGCCCGTTAAAGCCACCGGCCACATACAACATGATCACCATCGCTCCATGGACAGTCCAATACCCCCACCCCATATAATGTTCAGCAGAAAAAGTTTTTTGGGACGAATTGGACAAAATTATTTTTTCATTTTTTGTCCGAACGGCCCTTCGGGCCGATCGCCCGATGGCCCAATCCGCCCCTGCCTAGGATATGAAAATTTGGTTCGTGATATTTCCTAGTATTATTAAAAATACATGCAATACATAGATTAATATACATGGTTGGTTTCGCTGTTCTTTTGGTGTTGGTGGCGCTGATGGTCTTCCTTCGGTGTCACTTGTGGTATTCTGGTATTTTGGTTTCTGAAGAAAAAAGAATAAATTTGAGCAATGAAATGAAATGGGGTTTAACGTCCTACTGTTCTGCTCCTATACTGGGCTAATGAAGACGGACATACGCCATACAGTGTGCTATGAAGTAAATTTTGCCCGGGCAGCGGCACTATCGCCTACTCTTATATCGAATTCCAACTGCATGGGGATCTTTTACGTGCATTCCAATATATACACGGGACCTCGGTTTTTCGTCTCATCCGAAGGACTAGACAGCTGTCCTTGTCAGGCACCCGTCCTGCATCACTGACAAGGGGAAACCACGCCGGAAAATCTGGATGAACTTTCTCGGCCAATGCAGGGATCGAACACCCGACCTCCAGGCTATAGCGAGCCAGCACCTTACCCACTTAGCCACGTGATCCCCGAATAAATTTGAGGCTCTCGGGTGAGAACCACTTTGTGTAAGGATTGGATTTTCGAAAAATGAGTCTTTTCCACTATCCCGGGGCTAGGGCTAAAGTGTTAGGGCTAGGGTTTGATATATTCTTTGCTTTGGGTTAGGGTGAGGACTGGTGTTATTTAGTCTAATTTACTGTGCACTAGGATGTCGTTCAGATTTTAATTTTTAGAATATGCAATTATAAGTTTCTGTGTGAAGATTTTCGGGTGATTTTCTTGGAGATCAGTATAGTGTTTCTGATGATTTTGGATGCACTTGCTGCTGTTGCGCTAAATGGAACTACAAAAGGGGCTATTGCGCTAGCCGTATGAATATTCAAACCTAGGGGGGCTGTTGTTTTCAATTTGTCAATCCAGAATTTTTCTCTTGTTAGCCTAAACTTTTTAATTTCTTTTGTAGTTTCAAAGTCGCGCTTGGTCTTTCCTATTGGCGTGACAATGAGATCAGAAATATCATGATTTGGTTGGTTGAAATGAATTGAGACCGGTTTGTCTTTTTTGGTGACTATTTCTGACCGGTGACCGTTAATTCTTCCCCTGGGTGCATTTTGAGTCTCCCCTACGTATTGTTTGTCACATTGTCTACATGAAATTAGATAAATTATG